ATAACCTAGAAGCTCTTGTAATTACTACTTAAACAGTTACCCCACCTCTCCATGCCGGGTGAACACCGGCTGATGCAGTAAACAGCATTTCACAACGATTTCAGTACAGTAATAGCAAATATCCTTGCTCCTTCTTGATTATCTGGTAATATTCTATTCACAAAATACAACCAATAGTACGGTAATGTTAAGACTTACTTGTGAAAAGCCCTATTTTCGATGGTCCGACGATTAGAACAGGAAAATGCTCCACAATGCTCTGGCATCTTATCTGCTGCCACGCAACACAACTAGGAATACGACCGGTTCAAGATGGCGGCCGGATTTCTCGGTTTCCAGCGGCCAATAGGGCATCTAGTCTCTATATGATATCTATGGGACGGACGCGTACGCTCCGTTTGTTTCCATGATCATTTCTCGCGCTGGTTTCACTGCAAACTGCGCGCAGCCAATGGGCGTATGAAACGTCATCACGTAGCATTACGGCACAGTGTTTATGGGAAATGTAGGAAGTACGGCCAGGGGATAAATGACCGAGAACAGAGCCTTATGCATCACCGGCCAAACTGGCTAGTAAGTTTTTATTAACACCCGCCAAAATGAATTTTAACCCGCATTTGGCGGGTTGGCGGGTGTTAATTTAGAACCCTGGTGGCGACCCACAAGAGTTAGAGGACCCGCCGGCCTCTTTAAAGCTGCTGTCCGTAACTTTTTTAAGTTAAAAATAATCCAAATTAATTATTTAAAAAAAACATCTTCAGCCAGTGTTCAAAACTATCTGCTTGCCATAGCTAGATTCAAAACAGTTAGCTTGTAATAATGATTTTAATTCCAGTGGTACTGGTGGGTTTTCGCGGAAAATTCGAGCATGTCTTTGCGTCATTACGTCACATCCGTACACATAAAGAAGGAGTTTCGGCTAGCCGGCTATACTGCGCGTGAGGAGATGTAGAGATAGGCTTTTCTCGCAGCACTTTACATGATTAAACTTATGGCGGATCCAGAAAGATCCAGACAACAATCATCAGTGTCAACTGGAGATTAACCAGTTATAAAACCCAAAAGACTTCGTACTTCGGATTTAAGGTGGAAAGAGAAAGAAACCGTCTCATGCGAACACAAGGATACACATCGGTGGGTTTTTGAAAGGTGCGTGAACTCCCGAAGGGGTTCGAAACGGAAGAAGAGACAGCTTTTTCTGCTGAACAAGTAAGACCTTTCAATAGTTCAATCGTGTAACAGTACGTTTTCTTAATTCACACAGTTATGGAGTTTCCTTTGTTGTGCCTTTCTCGTTTAGCTATTATGGAGAATATGAATTCTGAACTACACAGGTAAAAAAAACACATTAAATAACGTTAGTCACGCAATGCTGATGTTGTTAACATGAACAATTTGAGAACAAAGTAGGCTATAATTTGCACGGTTGCTGTAAATCGCATTGATTAAATCTAACGAAGCTTATCATGTCGAATGCTTTTCCCCCCTTAGTTGATCAGAACAAAAATGGATGTTACTTACTTGTTCAGAAGACATTTTCCGGTGAAAATTCTTATGTTGGTCAAGCTTTCAAAAAGTAAATCTGTGATTCTGAATGACAGTATCCACACAGCGCGGTGATTGATAGCAGCACTCGCCTCAAAACACTGTGTTCATCCGCGCTGTTTCATGCCGATTTACAACCCACGTAAAGATGATAATTCCGCGAATCACTGCAGTTACAGATTTCGAACAGAGATGGTGACAAAAAGGGAAAAAGCTACGGACTGCAGCTTTAAGATCGCAAGTTTGGGAAAACTTCGGTTTCCCAGTCAGTTACAATTAATTAAACCAACAAGCTTCAATATTAGGTTACTCACTTTCGCTCTCTCTCTCTCTCTCTCTCTCTCTCTCTCTCTCTCTCTCTCTCTCTCTCTCTCTCTCTCTCTCTCTCTCTCTCTCTCTCTCTCTCTCTCTCTCTCTCTCTCTCTCTCTCTCTCTCTCTCTCGCTCTGGTTAATTCATTAAAAAACAGCGCTACTTTATTTCACTTCAGAATTCTAGATCTGAGCTGTAGATGAACGGGAGGGGAAAAAATCTGAACTATACATATTTTCCGTTTGACCAGCAAAACATTCATGAGTCATGACAGTCAGCTGTTATTTTATCTATTTATCCATTTAAAAACAGTCTGTGGGAGCCAACTTTTGGATATCCATGATCATATTGCATTGGTTTTCATTTCTTGTCCTCAAACAGTGCACTATATGTTTATTTTTAAGTTACACAGTCTACATTGATTAAAAAAATACAGAAATAAATTATTTATAATTCTGATGAGAATAAAGTTAGTGTTCATTTAAAATTTTAAGGAAAACAAATATATTGATCTGAAATATAGCAAATTAATTCATTATGAATTAATAAGATTAATTATTACATTAATTACATGAATTACTCAAATATACTAATACACTAGGTGGTACAGCCTGAGACATGCACAATAAAAAAAAAATTGCCTTCTGCATTTTTGTTTTGCTTTTCCCTCCATTGTACCGAACTGATATCGAACCGTGATGTCTGAACCGAGGTATGTACCGAACCGTATCTTCTGTGTACCGTTACACCCCTATTTTGAACTGTACGTTTTTAGTGTACGATTTAACAGGCGCAGCCACAGATCTAAAATCGGACGCTACCCCCCAATTCTTTTTTGGAACTATAAAATACTAGTTGTAAAACCTGGATTCTCTTTTGGGTGGAGGAACATGCTGTATAGCCTCCTTACCCAAAAGAGCTTTTTCTTCCTGTTTCAATACCAGAGCCTGCTCGGGGCCTACCACTGTGGGTAGGACCTCCTTGAACCAAAGTAGACAAGAACAAAACTGAATTCAGTAGCCTCTTTCTACGGTCTGCAGGACCCATTTGGCTGAAGTTTCCATGCTGCCAGATGGTCTACTAAGGGAACCAGCCTCTCAAGACTGGTCTTTGGTATATTTCGAGTAGTCAGCTCGGCGCCCTGAAGCCGATGGCCGGCAGGGAACAACCGACCTGGCTTCTCTAAAGTCCTCCTCGAAGGGCATGAGTCTCCCAGTGCTCCAACATCTTCGGGCGGACACTGAGACCTGAACTCCCTGGAAACCGCTGTGCCCCAAAGCACCAAGGTTGGCGGGGTTGGTAAAACAGTCCCCTGAGGCCTGCCCTCAGAGGCCTGACAATCCTGGCGTCAGGGCCTCTTAGCCAAAGCCTTCTTAGTGAGAATGACGGTCCTCAGATCCATCTTCCCCTTTGAAGGCTCCAGCCGAGAGTGCCACCCCAACCCCATTTCTTTTTGTGGGGGGTCTCCTGCGCCTTGTATGAGGAGCTAGATGACGGCCGAGGCTGCTCTCGCCCCAGGGCCTTAAGGGACGATGCCGTATCAGGGGACAGATATCTCACAAGCATCAGTTCCATCTTAGGCATTGCCCCATACCTGTGTTGTTTCAACCCCATTATGTTTGAATAATTTGTAATTTGGGGGCTGAAAAGACAGGCATAAAGACAAAAATAGCCAAAAGACCAGCTTAATTTAGTGAGATGTAATTTAGTGAGATGAGAGATGTAATGCAGATCTGTGACCGCAAGATACTGGATAATATTTTTTTACTTTTGTGCGTTATAATGATGGCTTGTGAAACTGAGCAGCTTTTCCAGTTCATATAGATTTAAACCACATATACACCATCCTACACTGACTACAAACACATTTCCTATCATGTATGGCTATGAAAGATAGAGTGAATCAGAGTAGGTATGGGGCAGAGCAACATGTGCAGCCCCACCCCAGGTTTAACCCCGTCCCGTTCTGCAGGCTGCAGCCAGGTGTTCTTGCGCCAATCTGCCATACATAACATTGTAATAAGAACAGTATTGATTGAATGTTGTAAATTCGGTAACGCTTCCTTTTACAGTACAGTACTTACTTGTACTTACAGTGTACTTACCTAGAAAGTACTGGCTAATATAAGGTTAGTACATGGGTTAGGGGTAGGTTTAGGGGTAGGTTCAGGGTAAGTACCCAGTTATTACCCAGTAATTGTAATTACTATAGTAAGTACATAGTATGTACATTGGAAACAGGACTGTAAAAGGAAGCGTTACCGTAAATTATTTGTGGTTTAGTTGTTGTGTTTTAGTGCATTGTTACGGGAAGAGCGCATCCACAACGGGAGTTACACATTCTGGTTAGCTCGTAACTTAGTTCACCTGTATTTGCATCATTTTGTGCAGATACAAGTTGTAATGTTACGTTTACGTTGTGTATCTATAATATGTGATTAATTTCATATAGAACGGGCTTCAGTTTACTGGTGTTCATTCACTCTTCAGCTTCACCTATTCACCTCAGCTTTTCCTCATCATTCCTTTTAGATGTTTCTTTCAAAATGTTTAAAAACATTGATGCATTATTGATAATCTTGTAGTGTTATTTTTCTAATTATATTTTAATATTTCTATAGACATATTTTCATGTCTTATTTTTATTTGTCATCATTAGTTTTCGTAACAGTGTTTTACTTGTTAAACAAGTACTCGAGGAACTCATTTCTGAGACCTATCTGTAGTACTCAAAATGAAAAAATGCTCATCCTTGTGTATATGTGTGTAGTTGTAGGGTCGTCTTGTTCTCCTGACGCTCTCTGTACAGCTCTTGTCTGAGGTCATCATATCATGGCAATGGTTGCGTCAGCAGAAGGAACTCTGAGGAGCCTGGGCCAGCTTTCACTTCATGACTCTGTGCTCATCTAACACTCGTGGGAGAGTGTGTCTGAATATAATGTGTCATTCATCAAGATGGCATATCAAATGTGGACCTACTTCCTACATAACCAGACTGATCTGTTTATGTATAGGCCTATACAGCACTGAAAATTAGCATGGCAGCTTTAGATTATACCATACCTTATCACCACATGCCACTTGAGGCTTTAATGTCATTAGTTTTTTCTAAATTGTTCTCATATTGTTCCACCCTTGTTCTAGCTCCTGAAGAGTTTGTCTCATTGGCTGAGATGGAGGACACTTTGTTGAGGAATCTTTTTCGGGGCTATCAGAAGTGGGTGAGACCTGTCCTTCACGCCAACGACACGATTACCGTACGCTTCGGTTTGAAGATCTCCCAGCTGGTGGATGTGGTGAGACACACACATATCCACTATAAAATCTGATCTTCAACTAAGTCACAAAATGAATGAACAAATAGCACACACATAGGGATTGATGATAACAATATCATATCGAGATTGCGTTAAAATTTACGTCGATAACGATGATAAGCTCTGGACATTTTTACTCGATGTGGATTAATCTAACAGCCTATCACGCAGTACAAATTAAAGGGATACTCCACCAGTTTTTCTTATTAAACTATGTTATTCCCTTAACTAAGACGAGTTGATAGATACCTCTCTCGTCTCAGTGCGTGCACTATATCGCTCTGTATTGCCGCAAAACTATGTTAGCACTTAGCTTAGCCCATGCATTAAATATGGGCCAAGCAGAGAAGCGACCAAACACTTCCACGTTTTCCCTATGTAAACACAGTTACTCGAGTAGTGTAACTTGACCTGGGCTGGTGACACAAAATAAACCGTTGCGCTTTTCTAAGCGTTTAAAATTGATGACTATATTGTATGGCGGAATACCATAACAAGTGCTTTTGAGCACTTCGACTTGGCGCAATAATATCTTCACTCGTGAAAAGTCCCGGCTCCCGCTTCCTCTCCCCCTCCCTCTGACATTTCCGTGGTGGCGGTATGGTTCTGTTCTGGGCAAGAACTCCATGCGCATTCATGCAGCCTAGCATGGATAAGAGCAGGGAGAGCAGCAATAACCCCCCTTAGGGTAAACAGAACAGAACCAACATGAATGTATTGCAGATATAATTAAAGGCACAATATGTAGGTTTTTTTCGTCACAAGAGGGCGCAGTTTCCAACAGTAACAAAGGCGTAGGTTTATGACGCAGTGATGAGCTGAATGATGGGACTTGCTGTCAAGCTGATGGATCTAATAATGTTTATGGATGAGTGCAAACATTCATGTTTTTTAACATTACAGTGGTATGAAGCAGGTCGCGATTGCTAAAGAGACAGATATCACACGCGAGTCCCGCGGATATAAAGGAATAAGGACATTTAATTCTACCGAACTACCCGCAAGTGCTGGATTACTCACACAGGTCAGTTTATTAGACAGATTAAACTTGTGAGGTAACGCAGCGCTGCTTCACTTGGTCTAACGTTACACTATCGGCATTTAAATGTGTGTTGAAAGTTATAATGTTATACTACGTGTTAGTTCGTTTGCTATACGAAACTAGCAGTAAGCTAGATCAACATTAGAATAACATACTGACCATATTCTAACATTTCATCATGTTGAGCTAACGTTATATAACATTGATTTGTTTTATGTACATTTGCTCACCTGTCTAATAAAGCTGTCAAGTCGTGACTGGTGAAGCTCTGTCAAGTCCAAGTTAGTCGCGGACGTGGAGCTCTCGGCATTTAAAAAACGCCACGCTGATATTGATCCTCATTTTAGTTCTCCTTGTTTGTCCCAAAGTCTGCTTGCCATGGTCTATGTTTGAAAGAAACAAGAACTGCGTGCCGCTAAACGTTACGCACTGCGCAGTTGTTCACGTCTGTCGCCATGGTTACGTCATGGCTATGGCAGTATGAACGGAAACCGAGGATAGCGCGGATATTGCGTCATTGACAGGCGACATTTTTTTTCCGGGATGGCCACTTATTTAAAATTGGAATTTCTCTGAAATAAAAAATCTTTGGAGACTTTTGGGATATTGTAAGTACACAACTGCAGGAAATATATCACACTGTGCAAGTGATTTTTGGATATTTTATTACAAAATTCTTACATATTGTACCTTTAATGTCAATATTTTAATGTACAACATAATTCGAGAGTTTAGTCTGATTCAAGGGGCATCAGAATGCCAAATCCTGACTGGACGAGAGGAGGAGCTGGGGATGGAGGAGGGAAATTCACTCCTAAAAAACGTGATAGCTGCTGAAAATACTGAAGGAGCTTATATATGGATGCTGTGATAGGCGTCGTATTCCTATAGGTAGACATGGATCAGCTGAGAGCCAGCTGATGCGAGCTTGACTAACGTGACCTGCCAGAACTAACGCTACGCTTGATGTTTGAAAACAACCATTTGTGTAACTGGACTTTTGACTCATAACCTTAAAGGACAAGTTAGGTATTTTACACTTAAAGCCCTGTTTTAAGATAGTTTCTGATTAAATAGAACGGTTAAGATTGAAATTTGGACACATTTTCAGTTTCTGTGGTAACACCCCCCCACCTCCACAATGGTTGCATAGGTGCACTGGAACAATCCTTCCTAAAACTCATTAAACTTTAGTTTACAAAGACGTGAAACTCACCGAGTGGTCTGGGGTGTTCACTGATAAGCTTACACAAAACTCGCTACAAAAGATGCTTTCCAACAGGTTTTATCGTAGTTTTTGTCCAACTCCATTGACTTGTATTGGATGTGCTGTGAGGTACGGTATTACTCCGCTGCCGGAAACGGAAATGGGGTTGTTTGTATTCTTCTGCTTCTTCTGTGTATTCAATGAAATGCCAGTGGTTTGCTTGCAATTGGCAAAGGTGCATTATCGCCATCAACTGGGCTGAAGTGTCTATTATTCAAGCTCTCAATGGAAGAATGTACGGGTGTGAGGCGTTTGGAAAAATAGGTCCACAGTTTTACAACGAATGGTAAAACACCTGTTGGAAAGCATCTTTTGCAGCGATTTTTGTGTGAGCTCATCAGTGAACACCCCAGACCACTCGGTGAGTTTCACGTCTTTTGTAAACTAAAGTTTAATGCGTTTTAGGAAGGATTGTTCCAGTGCACCTATGCAACCATTGTAGAGGTGGGGGGGTGCAACCACAGAAACCGAAAATTCTCGGGCCAGCAGCATGTGTCCAAATTTCAATCTTAACCGTTCTATTTCATCAGAAACGATCTTAAAACAGGGCTTTAAGTGTAAAATACGGAACTTGTAACATAGCATTGTAACATCTTCCCTTTGTCACAGCTAGCCTCTGTCTCCTCTGTGGCTTGTCAGGATGCAAAATCAGTCCTGCCTCTGCCATGTGTCTTGTGGAAAATGTGCATATGGTTATGCAGAATTTTCAGATCGGATTTGAGGTTCAAGTGCTTTGAAATATTTTAACATTTTCGTCTATACCTAATGCAATAAACCCGACTGTAAAATGGACAGTTGTGAATCATTCTGTTAGAAAATATTATTTTATAATTATTACATAATTATGTTGATTAGCCCTAGAAAACCTAACTATGCTTTTCTTTCAAACATATTGGCAATCATTTGTTTTATGTTGATGCATTCAGACATTTATTATTCATTAATTTTACCATTGTGAATAAGCAGAGAGTAAAGCCAGTTGAGAAGGTGTAAGGTGCTGTGAGAAGAACCCCTCTGGTCACTATGAATGATCTGTCACTGTGTGGCAAGAGCTGCAAAAGGATTCTTCAGATAATTATTTGAACAGGATACAGGTTAGGAACAATGAAAGTAAATAATCACAGAATTTTCACTTTTATGTGAACTGTCCCTTTAAGCTACTCCCAGTTGCCCACATTAAATCAAATCACAGAGTCTGAGTCAGTGCAACAGACCATAAATCCATAAGTCACGCAATAATGCAATGTACAGAAAGTGTGTGAGTAATTATGTCTTACTGTATGAGCATGTTTGTATGCGACACTTCCCCCGTAACTACTGGCTGACGTTATAGTGAGACTGGCTCTATTTAATAGTGTGGGGTTAATAAATCTACATGATGTGTAAATGTTTAATCTTTTACCTATGAAATATTAATTGCCTTTGCATACTTCACAGGAATCAGAGAAAGGCAAACACTTCTTGGTGATCATTTGATCTTTATTGTAGAGACAAGTTGTTAATACAATTACATTTGATTACGTATTTACAATTATTTCTATTAAAAAAAAACTGAATTTACACTGTGACACGTTCACAAAACAATTCATGCTGAAATGTGCTACATACAGTAAATAGTTTGATTGAAATGAGCATGGACCTAAGCTGCATAAGAATCATATTGTCTATACGATGTCAAGTGTCTGAACACTAAATAGAGATTTTGATATATAAATGTGGTTAATGTTTTAGATTTCTAACATGTAGCAATGGATTTCATTCCTTTTTGTTGTTTCATTAGGGGAGGGAGTTTTTAATTCTGAAAGTTATAATATGTTTTCAAATGAACCTTGTACAGTGATTATAATGGGAATATAATGAATTCTTTAATTTCAGAAGAGCAAAAAAAAGCTTCCTCATATTGCTGTATTCAAGTCCTCTTGAGATGTGCCTACTTACAATTTCACAATTGCAACATGAGGTGCATGAAGTGATTTTATCTTTATTGCTTTATTGTGAAGTATTATCAATATTCTTTATTAAAAGCACACAAAATGTGAACAGACTAAATTGTACCATGAACATTCAAACTTATTATGATCAGTACCAATTTGTTTCTGTCATTATTCTTTAATTGAAAACTTGGAAAGACGTGGCTTAACGAAGATCGAGAGTTTCTCACTGGCAGTTACAACTTTATTGTGGAGTTCATATGTGCTCAACTTGTAAATTTGATCATACCACAAAGATGGACAGAAATAGATTTTTGGGCGAACTATCCCTTTAAAACCTTTCATTCACATAGTGTAGAACGTCTCAGGTTACGACTGTAACCATAGTTCCCTGAGAAAGGGAACGAGATGATGCGTCAACGACGCTTTGGGAACGCCCCCAGCGTGAATGCGTCTGAAGCATCTATGTCAACTAGTCCAATGGAAAGAATGAGCGTCACGGGCGGGTGACGTCATGACCAGGAAGGGATAAAAGCACATCCGGTGCAAACCGGCATTAGCTTCGAAAAATTGCCGAAGCAAGCCGATCACAGGGATGCAGGAAGTATGGCAGGGTGACGCATCGTCTCGTTCCCTTTCTCAGGGAACTATGGTTACAGTCGTAACCTGAGACGTTCCCTTTCAAGGGAACTCGCGATGCGTCAACGGTGCTTTGGGAACGAGAATACCCAAAACACCA